TTTTTTAATCTGTATTTGCTCTAGAGTCACTAACCATGTCTTTCATCATGGTCACCATCTCTCTAGTTATCTGAGAAATTATTTCTGGTTTGAGTTTTTCTAGAGCTTCATTCATCTGCTTTGTTACTTCTGCTGTTACCACTCCAGAGTCCAGATGGTTGGCTTTCAAATTGTTCCACCTCATTGTCCCCTAAGTTTGCCTTTGGTGAGCTGGATGTCTGGAGTTGCATCTTGCTTAGGTGTCTTCTTATTTTCCTTTTTTTTTTTTAGTTTAATTCCTGGGTTGATGCTTGTAAATTGCTTATGGCAGGTAGCTTTATTGCTAGTATTGAGAACCCTTAGGAAATGACTACTTCTCAGAGATGTCTTCCAGGTGTAACTGGCTTTTGAATTTTGAGTCTGTTGCAAGATCCCACCTCTTCAATTTATTGGGGATGAGAAGTTGCTGCCTATTTGGCTAAACCCTGGTTCTTTGGCACTGGCCTATACTATTGTTTATGACTCTTATAAGACTGTAATGTCAGACTTGGCATACCAGGAAGAACTGATTAGAACAATTAGGTCACCTTGGCTAAGGTAGTACAATGGACAATAACAATAGCATCAAATGCAACCAGAAAATGACAAATGATGGTAACTATTAATTTGCTACCTCTAACCATATGAACTATATTTGTGGTTATATAACAAAATCTAAAACAAACCAGAAAATTGCATACAGTAAGTATACCCTCAATATGGCAATTTTACCCCCAGTGGAGAAAATTTAAAAGGGGCTGGGGGCAAAATAGAGGAATAGAAGAAGAGGAAGCAATTAGAAGCAAGTCTGGAAGAGAAAGAAAGATTACATGAACTTTGGGAAACTGGTGAAGAAGACAGGTGAGAATGAGAAAAGAAAGAAATAAAAACAAGAATAGAACAACAGAAAAAACTATAAATAATGTTCACAATCATATAAAACAAGAATAATCAAAAAACAAAACAAAACAAAAACAAAGACCAAGAAAACAAAAGAAAAAAATGGCCACTTCAGGACATGTCTCTCCTGTCACTGGTAGACACAGTAGGAAGACAGAGCCCAGATCTGTGTTGATTAATCCCAGCAAGTCAACTGTAGGTTTTCAGTGGGGTAGTGGATAATCACAGTAAGCCTGCACCTTTAGTCCCAGTGACATTCAGGCTGTCTTCTGGGTGTGAGGCTAAAACCCAATTTATTCAGCCTGCAACACTCTGTGTGACTCTCACCAGTTTGAACTTGGCTCCTTGACCTCCTGATGGCTTGAATTCTGTTCTGCCTCACCCTGACACTTGGAGCTGCTAGATGGAGCCAGCCCACAGCTTCACTGAGTTCCAAGCCCAGTTGGTCTCTCTTCAACATAGCTACCGGTCAGTCACCCTCTCCTGGGGGACATCTGAACCCAAAAAACTCACCAGCCACTGTAGTCCACTGTGTCCACTGTTCTGTCCCACTGGTACATTTTTCTGTGGAGGCCTCTGGGGTCACTAGTAGTCACCAGGTATCTTCAGGTTCAAGCCACCCCTCTCATGCAGTGAGGCAGGGCTTAGGGAGAAAGTGCCACATGCCACTGTCTTCTTCTGCATTGAGGTCTCTCTCTTTGCTCTCCCCATGGGCTTCAATTCTTGCTTCAGATCTTTGCTGGGTCCTAGGGACCCACTTTTCTTCTTCTCTTCCTCATGTTGCTATATTCCAGTGTCTGGACTCCAAATCTCAGAGAGGCTGTTTCTCTGATGTTCACCTCTCTGCCATCTTCCTGGAAATCTCTGAGCCCGATTTACAGACTGAAGAACTTTTTTGGGGTGGGGTGATTGTCTTGGAAAAGAAAAATGCATTGTAACCTTAGATAACTTTTGTATTCTGAAGCTACAGTTTTTTCCTAAATGTACAATTATAAAATTACAATTTTCCTTGCCTCCTTTCTACTTATTTCTCCTACCTCATCCATCTCATCTCCATTTTATAGATGAGGAAACTGAGCCCATAGTTCCAACAGCCTGACAGCAGGATTCAGCCTGAAAGACAGGTTTCCCAACCCTCAGTGTAAACTACTAACTGTCCTGCCTCCACTATTCTGAAGAGAAGCTTCGCTCCCAATTCTGCCCCTGGTTCTTGGAGGTCTCCTATTCACCAAGCCCTAGACTGAGTGCTAATGGTGTAGAAACAGACATAGTCCTCACCGTACAGGAGTGACAGGCTGGTGGAGTGATGGATGGGTGAACAGACAGTAGACCAGGGAAATATGCTCCTAGGTCTGCTGAGTGATAGCTGAGAAAGGAAGAACCAAGCTGTGCTGGAGACCTGGACATGAAGAGTCAGAGAGAGCTTCTGGGAGGAGACGGTGGGATACCTCTGACTCATAGCTATTCAAATGTGGATATGAGTAACACACACATAAATATTACTGCTTTCTGACTACATCCTTTGACTCCATCTATGAGATCCTCCTAATTTATTTACAAACATAACTCCAGTCCTCCTGGATAAGAATGGCTGGGTGGGCTTTCCCAGACCTCAGCCAGTCTGTTTCATGACTCAGGCATTTGTTTCATCTTAAGTTCTGGCAGACATTGTAGCTAAAGGTGACCTCCATAAGCCCCAGAGGAGGTCAGAGGCCAGCAGCACCTGCCCCAGGCCACCCCAGCAGAAAGTGAGCCTGAGTGTTCTTTCTCCCTTTCACTTCCTCACCATGCTGCTGGGATGGCCTCCATTTTCCCCTGTTGTCCCCACAACAGTCGTTTCCATGAAGAAGTCCCAGATCGCATATGTGCTCCTTTGGACAACATGGGGCTTAAGCTGAAGAAACTAAAGCATGTGTTCCATTGTTGATAGCTTTACAAGAGTCCTCACCTGGAGGTGTCTATGCCTATAGCCATTCATCTAAATGTCTCCCCCCCACACACACACACACAGGGATAAGAGGAATGGAAAGCCTGGGCTTCCTGCTTGTTACGGGGTAGGAATGTCCAGAAATCCCCCGGGGCGGGGGCGGGGGGCAGGGGGGACAGCCCAGAGGCCAGGCTTCCTAAAGCCCAACATTTTGGATACTCAAGTCTTTAATCTGAACATGGGACTGCCACAGGACTTTCCCAAAGGATGGCTTGGGTGTCCCGGACTGATAGAAGCTTGGGGTGAGACACCAGGGTACTAGTACTTAACCTCTGATGGAGAGAAAGCACAGTTGTCCACATCAGAGATATAGATGGCTGGAGAGGAGGTGGTGGAGGCTAAAGCTTTCCTTAAGATTGGAAGGAAGGAGAGATAAAGGAGGAGACAAGAATAGAGGGAGGGAAAGAATGGATGCACAGAAGGAGAGAAGGAATTAAACTTAAGAACTGGAGCTTGTAAAACCACATTTTTGTCAAAAATGCTTGCCACCATTTAGTAAAGGTTTACAACCCACACTTCATGGGAAAGAAAACACAAGCTCTTGCCATTTGGATTAGAATTGGTTGTGGTGTCATGATATAATAAAAAAAAGAATCTGAGTAATGGAGAAAAGCAGAAGTGATTTTAAATCTGATTGCTGCTATGTCTACTGAAATGGGTATGCTAACACCTGAGCGGGAGGAGAAATGCTTACCCTGGTGGACTCCTGGCCCTGGGCTCTGAGAACCTGTCTCAAGGTCTCCCTTCCCTTGAGGGCTTAGCAAACCAATCTGACCTGATTGCTCCTGCAGGTCACAATTCTGTGAGAGGAGTCTCCAGGAGGCTGTTTCTACTGCTGCTGAAAGGCTGGAGCAGGCTGAGCCCAAGGAGTCAAGGGCTGAGGTCCTGGAAGTGCTGGAACCAAGATGTCAGAAGTGCCTGCTGACGCCTCCAGCACTGATGAGGTGTTGTTCTGATAATCACTGGTCCCCAGCTTTCTCGCATATAAATTTGTCTTGTCTTATCCCTGTGTTATTGCCCTGTGATACTTATTTTTATCCTATATCATAGACATGAAGCAGGTGATTGCTTATAATCAAGCTCTCAGAATGGGGCCCAGTCTCCTGCCAGGGCTGTAACACAGTTTAGTGAGTGTGTATGCATGTGTTTGTTCACACACGTTTTTTTCCCTCCAGCGAGGCACCTTCTGTCAGCACCTCCCCTCTCTTTCACAAACTCTCTGAATAAATTCATTCCCAACACTTTAAAATATTTCACCTTTAAACCCACAAGAATGTTAAGATTCTATCCGGCCTTCAGGAATTAGACATTTTAAAATTCACTTCAAATTGCATGACTACTAATCTAGGAACTTTAACCTTTTGGAGTCTTTCATGTTGTTCCATGACCAAATCTGTGTCCTGTTCCTTTGTTGTTTAGCAAGGAAACTAATCATTCTGGCATCATCCTTATTATGGATGTTAAGAAAAAGGTTTCTAATAGTTCACAGAATTGCTTGTAATCAGAAAAAAAAAAAGTGATGTTTTCCAAGTAAAGAAGATAATTCTCCAGGAATGGAGTTAAAAGAGAATACATATGTAAGTAATTGCTTCAGAATGTGTTCTTTAACACAGTGATTTCTTAATACGAGAGCACTATGTAAATGCATCTTACAAGGTTCTTGAGAGAACTTGAGCACTCTGTCCTGTGGAATAAAATACTGCTCTTTCATTAGGAGAACCAAGTGCTCCAAAGAAAAGTAGAACTTAACAATTACTGTGGGCATATCTCCAAAAGAAAGGAAAAGGAAAGCTAAACCTTATTAAAACTTTGAAAACCTAATGGGCTTAAATGAAATGGTTCAGTACGGTTTATGTAGATAAAAATATTGCAACATAATGAAATTCTTTTAGCCTTGGGTGTATGAAATACAGTTGCTACATTTTTCCTTAAACCCATTTGGTGTTTCATGGGGATCTAGTCTTTCATATCAGCTATTTAGGCATATTTGATTTTGTCATAAATTTATTAATCTGTTTGATAAAAGGAAAAACATTTTAATATTGAGGAAGAAATTCCTTTTAAAAATACTTTTTATTATAAGAAGTTACACAGAAATACATAGAGGAGAGAATAAAAATCACTCATATCACAATACCAGGAGAACCATTATTAGCTTTTTGGCATCATCCTTCTGGTCCTTTTTTTATGCATAAAGAATGTGTAGAGGAGAGTGAGGATTTTCAAGAATTCAGGGGACACAGTGTGGAATTTTAAGAAGGGCAATCAGAGTAGGTGCGACTGAGAGGGTGACAGTGATCAAAGTCTTGAAGGAGTAAAGAAGTGGGACATAAGATAACAGGGAAGTGGCTGTAAGCAGGAGGAAGCCAGGGCCTCAGAGCCAGGCAGGGCAGCAAGGCTGGAGCCAAGGATACAGGGGGAGGGGGAGAAGGTGAGGTTGGAGAGGTAGTGGCCCTGGTGGGGTGACATGGGACCCTGAATTTATCGGGGAAAAACACATGACAGGGGGCAGGTCACAGCTGTCCTAGAGGCCAAGTGGAGAAGATAGAAGATGAGGAGGGAGTTACCCAAGGAGTACAATGTTACCAAGAGATTATGATGATGAGGACCCAGGATTGGTGGGTGGAATTGACTGGTAAGAACAGATTTGATGGAGTGGGCAGAACTAGAAGCCTAATCAGGATACAGCTGGGAGATGTGGGTACAGACAAATCTTGGAGGCATTTGTTCTAAAATAAGTATGGCAGCAGTTAGCCAAGGAAGGTGCAGCATGCGCGCGCACGTGTGTGTGTGTGTGTGTGTGTGTGTGTGTAAACATTAAAGACTGGGAGACCACATAGCATGTTGTGATAAGGGTCCTGAAGAAAGAGAGAAAACTTTCCAGGGTAGGAGAGGGGACAGCTGTTGGGACAATGTCCTAAGTGGTAAGAGGGGAGGGACTGCAGTGCAAAGCAGAAGGATTGGTTTTGACAGGAAAATCATCTATATTAACATGCAGCTTTAGATGCTGGAAAGTGGGCAGCTGTGGTAAAAGGAGTCTGGGAACATTCTCTTCTGATTGCCAGTTTTTCACATACTTATTGAGCCCTACTGGATGCTCAGATTTGGCTATGCTGGCTTCTCCTATCAGCATATCCTGTCTTCTCTGGCACAGCTATAGCTCAGGACTGTTTGTAGAACTTACTGGGCTTTGAGTGACAGGGGAAATGGAACCCATAGAATCCTGAAAGGATAAGCAGCTTTCTGAAGCCCTTCCTGAACACATAGGCCCTTCCTGGGGTCAAGCATTTGAAGCAGTTACCCTATCATCACTACTAAACATTGGCAGACTTTTGTACTAAAAATAACTATACTAAAAATAAAAAGACCAGTACTTATCTGAGTTTTGTCAACGTAACTGACAACATCTACATCTACATATTTGGAAACATCTGTACAAACACTTGGATATTTGGAAACGTCAGAAACCTTGGCATCATTCTGGCATTTTTATGGCTTTGTACTCCTTATCTAGATATTCCGGTTTTCTGTAGACACTGCCAGACAGTCTTTAAAGTGATCCATTTGAAATAATGCCTTTGTCTGTAAAGATCTGGTTCTGTCTTCACCCAAATACTAAAGGGAAGAAAAAAGTAATCACTGACCCATGAGGAACAAAATATGATCACTATTTTACCTTGATACTGCCCATGAAAATAAATATTCCCCTATATTTAGAGCTAAACTCTCTCATCAACTTTTCATCATGTGCTTTAATTTCCCTTCCAAGCAATTAAACTATTTTGATTTCTTCTGTTACCTCAAGCAATTACAAGTCTTTCTTTCATCTTCTTAATTTTTGATGGAACCTTAAGCCTGTTAATAATCCTTCTGCAATGTGGCCAATGTGTACTCTTCAGGGATCTGTCCAAGCCTGGCAGTTCAGTCAGCTTGCCGTTCACTACCTTTGGATTCTGTTAATGGTGCTTCATTATGAGCTTTGGATGAGATGTTGCAGCATAACTCACTAGAAATTAAACCCAGGGCACCATTCAGCTTTTCTACAAATCTGTGATTCTTGAGGCTAATGAGGGATTGAATTCAGCTTCCTTTATTTATATAAGGTATCATAATAAGGATAGGCAGATCATTTATCCATTTTTCTTTATGCACTTAGAGCACTTTGCAATCTGTCACCCCATGTTTATATATAATTTCTGTGCATAAAATGCCATTCAACTCAGGGAAAAGCAGTATTCTTGATAGCGGGTCTCCCAGTCCTTGACAGTGTTTTGCCTCTCTGGTGCAGTAATAATTTAAGGGTGCTTAGCTGAATGCCTGTATATGGCCAGACTGCAATATGGAAGGACATATACAGAGGTGGTGAGTCAGTCTGCCAACATTTCAGTCCTTTCTCTCTGGAGCCCTGCAGTTTTCTGTATATTACGTGAGCTTTGAGAGTTAAAAACCAGTAAGGATGCTCCTTCCTATAATAAGAACTTTGAATCCTACAAATGTTATTTGAATTATTTTTATAAGTCATACAACTTTAAAAAGAAGGAAATTTTTAAAGCGGTACTTATTGGTATTCATATTAGGAAGGGTAACACTAGCTGCTACACTAACCTCTAGATTTCCATCACAGGTCACAACAGAAGTTCATTTCTTGCTCAAGTAACAGTTCAAGTAGGTGTCCTTAGCCAGCGGTCATTCATCCACTTTGTCATTTAGGGACCTAGGCCCCTTCCAATTTGTAGTTCCCACTGTCCCTGCTTCCTTGGAGTTGTCTGTACCTGGCTGAATGGAGGGAAACACGAAAAAGGCACCTCCTGTTACTTAAAAGTCCCTCCCCCAAAACCACACATCAGCCATATTCACATTCCATTTGTGAGAATTAGCTGCATGTCCTGATCTGGAGGCTGGCAAATGTAGTCCCTGACTGGGCCACTGTGTCCAGTGGTATCTTTAAGCTTAGGAAAGAGGAAACGTGAGTTCCAGCAAGCCATTTCTACTGCTTGTGTAATATAATCACACTAAAAATTTATATTCTACAAGGTCTCCTACTATTAACATTTTGGAATATAGCTAATAAATGGAATCATGCTGTATGTGTGATTTAATATAGTTAATTTAAAAATTTCAGTTAATAAGTAACATTTATTTTATTTTATTTTGGTTTTTTGAGACAAGATCTTACTATGTAGTGTAGAATGGCCTTAAACTCACTGTGTAGCCCAGGTTGGCCTTGAACTTGTGGCAATCCTCCTACCTCAGCCTCTTGAGGGCTGGGATTACAGGCGTGTGTCACAATGCCTGGCACATATATTTTAAATGTACATGATTTGTGTGAACAGTGCGGGCATAGTACCAGCTGGGAGCTTTACTCTGGTGTGTCTGTTTGCTAGCCACTATCACAAAGATAGACAAGAGCATGACCCAGGACAGTGGGATGGAGAGCATCAGACTTGGGGGTCAAACAAATTCAGGCTAGAGTCCCAGGTGTTTCCCAACTGTAAAATAGGGGATGCTAGCTTATTTTATTTGGTTGCTGTGAGAGTAAGTAAAAGAATTTTTCAAGGGCTCAAATACCAAGATAGGTAAAACTTTGTTTCTAAAAACTTAGAAGAGATTTTTAGAAGAAAACTTGTATGTTGTTAGCATTGTATAGCCTCATGAGATGTCCAAACAGGTAAAGCAGGCATGGACTGTTAAGGCTCACCCAGGGGTCCTGATGCTGATTCAGGAGGCCTTAGGTGGGCCCAGGAATCTGAATTCTTAGCAGTTCCCCAAGATGACTCTAACGTACATTATCCTTGGGTCCCAAAGTAAGAAACGTTAATATATAGGTTCTATGTAGACAGCCAAATAGAAGCCAATAGATGGAACAAGGCATGAGATCAGAAATCAAGAGACATTAATAAAGGATGCCCAGAATCATAAGAGAGATAAAAAGAACATCTTATGCAAGACACATTTTGGTTTTGTCTTTTTTTTTGTACTGGGGATCAAACTTGGGTCCTTGCGCTTGCAGGGCAGGCAGCAGAACCACTGAGTTAAATCCCTGGCCCCTGCAAGACATATTTTAAACAGGGCAAATTTTTGTGGTATGGGATCAATTCAAGCATTGTAGAGAATGTCCATTAGGCATCAGTCATGTTTCTATTTTTATTGTGATAACAAAAACAGTCCACACTTTTCCAAATATCTCTTATGGAAGTAGAACACCCATACTTGCAGATCACTGATCTAGTCCAAAGCTTCAGTTTTTTAGATGAGGAATGTAAGCCCCAGAGAGGCAAAGTGACTTGCTTATGATCATATAGCCAACTGATAGCAAGGTAGCCAGTAGAATCTATCCAAGCATTCTAAGTTGATGGCTGGTTCCCACCCATGTGGCCACATCAGTTTAGGATGTTTTTATCAGTTTAGGATGCAAGTAGTGGAAAATCCAATTCAATCTCACTTAAATGACAAAGAAATCGTCAGCTCACCTCACAAGCAGTCCTTGACTTGGAAGCTGCTTCCAAGTTCTTGTGCCCAATGGTTTTGACTCCATATGTTTGTGACTTAATTGGCCTGCCACTTGGTGTGTAAACTTCGTCTTCATAATGGTGTCAGGCCTTGGATTCCATCAGCAAGCACCAGGCAAAGTGAGAAAGAGTATCTTTCAGAAAGTCTCCAAATGCCAAGCATGGTGGTGCACGCCTGTAATCCCAGCACTTGGAAGGCTGAGCCAGGAGGACGCCATGAGTTTAAAGCCAGCCTGAGCTACATAGTGAGCTCAAGACCATGCTGGACCACATAGCAAGACTCTGTCTCAAAAAAAAAAAAGTCTCCAAAGAAACTGGTGAGAATTTCCCTTCAAGAACTACTGAAAACTGCTTCTCACATCTCAGTTGTCCAACTTGGGTCATATAACTGATCCTTATTGAATTCTAAAAGAATACTTAGATCACCAGGCCTCCCCTAGAGCTAGATGGGGCCAGTTTCCCCCGCACTATGCTGGATGGAGTGTGAGGGAGGATATCTGAGCAACGTCCACTTTCTATTAACAGAGCAGCCATCCTTCTCCATTTAGCCCTGCAACCATCAGTGTTAACAACAATACTTTCCACCTTTGTGGCCTAGCCTCCTAAATATTTATCCAGTTACTCAGTCTGCAACTGCAATGCCACATTCTTTGAGGTTCCCAGGAACTAAAGAATGTGCATAACAAACAAACAAGCAGAAAATAAATAAATAAAGTGACTTGTTTTGGCATATCAAACAATATGTGTTTTCAGAACTGGTACCTGGCAGATCTGGATACAGATGATGTAAGGCCCAAGTAACAACAATGGCTTAAAATAAATCCATTTGTCTTTTTACACATGTACAAGTCCACAGGGATGAGGGTAGCTGATACAGTGATGCTGATACAGGAAATAATACCAGAAGTGAAATATGAAATATTGTATTTCCCAACCTATTAGATATCTGATATATTGAGCTCTTTTTCTCTAAAAATCAAAGAATGAATTCTAGGAACAATGGAGGTTAAGAATAGAAAGATATTTATTGATAGGATAGCTCCTGAGAGGCAGGTGGGGTCCTGAATTGGTAGCCGGGGACCCCACTGCACAGAGAAGTTTTATAGAGCAAAACCCACCCGGGTACAATGTGGGTCACAGCCATGATCAACCAATAAGGTTATAAGTATAGTCACTTAGGTAATAGTGATCCAATGGGGAAACAAGTCACATAACTAGTGTGGGTAGAAAGAATAAAAACTTATCCCAGGAAATGGTGGGTCCAGAGGTCTCTGGTCTCTCACCAGGTAGCTGATATCTATCTAGACTTCATTAGGCCCAGTGTTTGTCCTTTGAGGAAATATGCAGGTCTGGTCATCTTGTCCTTATCTTGAGGCCCAGCCTCCAACAGATGTGTCTCTAACAGCAGTTATATGGTTCACCTTTGTCCTGACTCTCTCAAGGACCTAGTCCTATCTGACTGCCTGTAATATTTCTACCTAACTCTGCTGTCTATAATAATGCCATCAAGGGCCCAGATTACTATCTCATTCATCCACCATCCTCAAACTGAGGTCCCAGTTGGCTACTCAGCTCCAACCAGTGAGTTTACATTCAACCAGCAGAAATATGGGAAGACCTAAAGGAGTATATGTATTCCTTTTAAAGACACTTCCAGGAAGGTTAACGCACACATTTTGTTAGTGGCCACTTAGGTTCATACCTTAGGTTTGTTTGCTCCCCGATGACCAGATCAACACAGGCCATGTATTGTGGTAAAAAGGAAAAAAAAAAAGGATTTATTCAAAGTTAACTCGGAGTAAATGGTGGGCCCATTTGTCTCAAATCCCCTTCTCCTCACGTACAGGTGGGCAAAGGTCTTCTATAGTAAGAAACAGAGGGGAGGGAGAACAGAGAGACAGAGAAGATCTCTCTACCCTTGCTTTATCACTTCCAGCCATCTTCAGCTTATCCTCCACTTCTTATGGAAAGGAAATCAGGCTCCAGCCTCCTGGGGCTGGCATCTGCATATTCTGTCACTTCTTTAGGGGCTGAGGAGAGGAGGAGGTGTGGGCTATGTGCTCAGCTGGAGAAAGTTTGGAGAAGTTGCTAATCTCTAAAAGAAAAAATCTAACTTTTAAAATTCTATTTTTCAGTGCTGGTTACAATTTCACTTAAATACCTTTCATTGCCAATACTGGGCACTAGGCCACTGTAAAGGGACCTGGGGAATGTGGCCCTTACCCTGGATCAATTGTACAATTAAAACATTAGGGCTTTTCGGGGTGAGGTGCACACACTTGCAGTCTCAGCCACTCAGGAGGCTGAGGAAGGAGGGTTGCTTGGGCCCAGGCGTTGGGGCCAACCTTGGCAATGTAGTAATACCCCAGTAAGACATAGTAAGGCAAAATAGTGCGGGGGGGGGGATTATTAAGGAAAAGGGGGAGAGGGGTAAGGGGAGGGAGAACTTAGGAATCAATGCCACATTTCCATAAACAAAGGAACAATGAAATATAAGTACAAAAATTCCCCACAACCACTGATAAAATATACAATTGGCCCTTCATGTCTGTGGCTTCAGCATCCTCAGACTCAATCAACCCTAACTCAAAAACAGGGAAAAAAAATTCCAACTGCACTAAACAGTTCCAGACTTCTTTTTCTTATCATTATTCTCTAAATGATACAATATAATGGTATACATAGCATGTACATTGTAGGAGCAAAGGTAAGTAATACAGAGTGATTTAAAGCAGCATCCCCAACCTTTTGGGCAATGGGGATGGTTTTCGTGGAAGACAATGTTTCCACAGCCAGGAGTGGGGAGGTGGGGGACAGTCTCAGGGTGAATCAAAGGAGCCAGCAACCTATATTCCTTGCATACACAATTCATAGTAGAGCTTGAGTGCTTTTTGAGAACCAACTGCCCAGCTGATCTGACAGGGTGCAGAGCTCAGGCAGCAATGTGACACCTGGGGAGCCGCTATAAATGCAGAGGGCGCTTTGCTTGCTCGCCTGCTGCTCAACTTCTGCTCTGTGTCCAGTTCCTAACAGGCCAGGAGGTTGAGGACCCCTGATTTAAAGTGTACCCAAGGATACACATAGATTATACACATTGTATATAAGGGACTCAGGCCTTTGCACACTTTAGTAACCACAAAGGTTCTGGAACCAATCCTCCTGGGATACCAAGGGACAACAACTGTGTTTCATGAATTACACAATAATAGTATTTATAATGGTGCCTGGGGGGGGGTGTATGTGTGGTGGCACTGGGGATGGAATGAATCCAGGGCCTTGCACATGCCAGGCAAGCGCTCTGCCACTGAACTATATCCCCTGGTGCCTCTATTTAGAATTCGTGTCTCACTGCAAAGTCCAGCACAATTTACAGATAAAAAATGTCAACTAACTGAGGAAGAGAAGCCATTCTACTCTCAGCTCCTGAAAGATGTTTTCTTCACCCTAAAACAAATAAGCAATTCCAAGCACTTCCCCTGTGTGGGAAGGGGAATAAATTCAACTTGTCATACAAAGAATTACTGACCCAACAAACGAAGGAGGTGGTTATCCAAGTATATCTGGAACTCATAATACTGAATTAAACATTAAGCACATTTAAAAAAAAAAGTCAAGAAAGCAAGTAGTTAAAAAGTAATTCTAGTTATTAATTCTATTTTGGAAGGACCATAAAAAACTCAGATGTCTACCCCACGGCAATACTTCCCCATGATCTCAGGAATCCAATGGCTCCCATTTTGACAACACTTCAGAACCACGCTCTTCTCTTTCTTGGAATCCTGTTCTTTTTTCTCTTTCCTCTCTTGTACCCTGCTTCATCATTCATACCCATTCTCTTCTTTTGGAGTCTCAGAAATCAGCAAGCCAAGATATCTCCTTGGAATGGGGTAAGGGGAAAACTTGATCAAACACAGAAAAATAAGCATAGAAGAGAACCAGAAAAGGGTGAGAACCTTCCACTGGGTTACCACCTCTGTGACAATCACACTTCGAGTCATGTGGCCATCAAGGAGCCTGGGTCTCCAATCAGATCACATCCCTGCAGTCCTCTCTCAGGTCCATTAGAATCTATCTGCTCTTCAAGTCTAAGTCAGGAGTAGCTTTTTTTTTAAATCAAGTTAATTCTGAAAAATGAGAGCAAAGGTAAGAACTCAGTATATTAGGAACACACACACACATACACACACACACACACACACACACACACACACTCAGATGGATGCCCTCAAAGTCAAGATGACAGATGGAAAAAAACAGAATCCTGATTCTACTTTAAATAAATAGAGATGACAAACAAAATGTCTTCTGAAAAATATCTAAAATACCTACTCATACTCAAAGATAGAAAAAGAGTATCTCCAGGGGCTAACCACAAACAGCTAATTCATAGCTACAGAGATAAGCAGGGGTTAAACTGGGGCAGCCTGCAGACTGAAGAGACTGGGTTAGAGACTTTGGTGCTGCTTGTTTATCACCCCTGAGGGGCTCAGCATCAGAATGGACCCCATGCAGGGCAGACAGCCGGAATTAAGCTCCCTGCCTGTGCTAGGAGCCAGAAAACTGCTAACCTGTGGTTCCACAAAGAGATACCAGAACAAGGTTTGGCCAGTATTAGGGTTACAGGAGGAAGAAGGCATCTGTCCCAGGCCATGAAACTAACAAAATATAAAATATAAGACAAAAGAGTAGAGATGATCAGACAAATCCAGATTTCTTTCTTGTCTTTTTGGCGCCAGAACCACTGAGCTAAATCCCCAGCCCCCCAGAGCACTTTCTTGAAAAGACCAATAGAATGAATCTCTGGCAGTACTGAAGTTTTATTTTATTTTATTTTTTCTCTTCAAGATTTTTGTTTACTTTGACTGTATGTCCAGAAGTGGGATTGCCGGATCATGTTGCAGCTTTACTTTTTAAATTTATTTCCTTAGATTCTTTTATTGGTATGTTTTAGGTATACAATACATTTATATTTATCATTGGGTACTTGTACTTTTACATGATATATCTTTGTTCTTATTTTTTCCCCATTTTCTGTCCTCCCTTCACCCCATCCACCCTACCCTATATACAAGGAGTTTGTTTCCATTTTTTCCTTTTCTCATAATTTTTCCTTTCCCTTCTTT